GAAGATTGGCCCTCTCAATCACCCGATCTTAACCCCATAGAACATCTTTGGCATGAACTTGAAACAAGATTAAGAAAACGAACGATTCATCCAAAAAATGTTTCAGAATTGGAGGAGGCTCTGAAAGAGGAATGGTCGAAAATTCCATATGAAAGATTAGGAAAACTTATTGAAAGCATGCCAAAAAGAATTGAGGCATGCATTTCTAGCAATGGTTGGCCAACAAAATATTGATTGTTCATTTCAAAACTTATTTCAATTTTGCTGATCATTACAAATATAATTTTTTTAATTAAATTTCGTTTTTTTAAAATTAAAAAAGTTCTAGATAATAAAAAAAACTTTAAATTTCATATGCATAACCGTAAGAACCTAAGCTACAAAATGACATTTTTTATTTATTTTTTTATTATGTAATATTTTGCGGAATTTTCGAAAAACTGCGTTCGGATACTTTCTTCCAGGTACTGTAGTTTGGATTTAGAAAATTTTTTCCAAAAATCCATTATTATTATATTCCAACCTTGTCACAGCGGACTATAAATAATAATAATAATAATAATTAAATCTTATCATAACGGATTTTTAAAATTTTTGCTTCGCATATAAAAACATATAAAATTTTTCTTATTATTATGTGTCCCGTCTATCCGTTGCGACTATATCAAGAAATCCGTTATATTGAGAAGAATATTATTATTATTAACCTCAATCTTTATCCATTAAATTGAGGTACACTACATTGAGATTCACTGTATTCAATATGACATTAAGAAAATTTAGGAATCGAATCAAATCACTCTAAAATTCGATTAGATTCGATTAATTCGGAGCCTTATATATTATAAAATTTGGTGTTTTTAAGTTAGAAGTTATATGAGATTACGGAAACCTTTTTGTTTTTTTCATATAAGTAATGTTTTATATCATTTTAGGTTATAATTTTCATAAATAACAATTTTTTAAACGAAACGTAACAGTGAGTTTCGTGAAATACAGATTAGCATTATGGCGCGATGATATTCTGGTGTCATAAAATCACAAGACATCAATCATATACACTCACCTAACATAAAGATCCGATCATTTTAATAATTGGGAAACTTATATCTCACGCAGTTCAAAATTTTATTAACCAAACTGGGACTGGTACATTAAGAAACATGATTTTAAAGTTAATTCGAATATAAATTTAAAGTCCCGTCAAGTTTGCATTATTAATGAATTTAGGATGAAAATTTTAAATTAGACAAAAATTTCGTGATTTTATGAAAACTTTGAGCTTAGTAAAACTCTGTTGAATCATGAATTATGTCGTTAAGTAAGTCCGCTTAAAATATTTTGAATTAAATATGGTTAAAAATTGATGAAGTATAGTAAAACCTTAAAATTTGCATTTTGTCAACTTTATTAAGTGTTTATATAATAAAATTACGGGGTAGTCGGATACTTTTTTAAACCCCTTTCACGAACTAATTTATGCTGACAATCTATTGTAGATATATGTAACCCATTACGTTGAGCACGTTTTATTAATGAAGTAATATACATTACAACTAAGAAATTTGACCTATATTATATACATGTAAAAATTCCGATTGAAAATTTGGTTTTTTGAACTATTTGCTAAATGTTTCCATTAATAACATATCAAACCTTTCGAAGCTTTTGTAATTTGGAGATTTTGATATCAAGTACAAATCTACTTAGTAAAGTAAGAAAGGTTTTATTTAAGAAAACGTTGCTTTTTTAGTAAGGACTCTTTTCATTTGACGTTACACAACTCCGGTGGTCGGATATTTATGGTAGGTGAGTGAGACATATCGTTCAGAGCATCAAAATTAGCACCGAATGCGAAGCATAGTTTGAATGTGCTCACATAGCGTGCACATTCGTAAACTTGAATTTTATCTTGTGCCGAAATGGCCCGAGAGAAATGTCTCTCTACGTTGGTGTTACGAAAAAAATGCGGGAACAGCTGTCATATTTATATGTTTTGAATTTAATAAAAATAGACTATTGTCTTGGCCCAAATAATGTCATTTTTTTGCTCATTACGGCTTTTAATGTTTTTATCAAAATCGTATTTCTCTAATACCCAATACAAAATTTTAAACCTTAACTCCATGAACCTCCTTCGCCCTACATCAAAAAAACTTTTTTTCCCCATAGTTAACAAATCCCTTTTCTCTATGGCAAACAAAAGCTTTTTCTCAGTATTAAGCAAACGTTTATATATCGAAAAAAATACACCTGAAGATGAGGAGGATATTAATAATGTTTTTAAATCACTCAAAGCTCCCAAACAGTTGGTATTGTTTAAGAAGTTTCGTCACCTGAAACGTGAAATTATGAGAAAAGAAATAAATGCAAAAGAAAAGGAAAAAGAAATAATTGTACTTACAAAAGATTTAGAGATATTTAGAGAGCGTATGGTGAGTTTTGCTTGGAATTGCTTAATGTTACTTTTTAACAATTAATCTCAAATCTTATTTCTTCAGGGTCGGACAGAATTGGACTATTTGAGAATAAAAGGATCAGTGCATGTTAGAGGTGTTTTGGGTTAGTAAAAAATTATTTACTTCTACTATGAACATTTTATTTGTTTATTCATTTTTTTGGATTTGTAACCGATTTCTAGAACGTTGGGAAGAAAGGATGATGAATATTCGTGGAAACCGAAAAGAAAGGTGGAAGAAATATCTTGAAAAGAATCCCAAACTATTAGAAACTTTTCAGAAATTTTGGAAGCATCGTCAAAATCAAACTATTACTATTGATGTAAACTTTGTGGCAGGAGAAATGCATACATTATACAAATGGGTGTCTGAAAGAATACATAGTGTCAATGCACGAGGAGATGTCGTAGAGTGGAGTAAATCCGATTTAGGAAATGAATGGAGTCAGGTGGTGGAATATATGTGTAAAGATCTTAACATTAAATATGAAGTTTTCGGAAATGAAAATGAAACTGCTCCATGAAATTTCTAGCGACAAATAATCTTCAAAAATTTCAAATACTATATGTTTGAGATGATTTAAAAGACTTGTATAGAAGAGAAAATGCAATTGTATTAAAGTCAATAAGTCCATTGTTGAACATGGAATTTTAATAAAACTTCATTTTTAAGCTTGTTAATATTAATTAATTGTTGGTTATCTTTCAATTAATCAGTCTTTTTTCTACATTGTCAATCGGTAAACAAACAATATGTACAAATTTTTTTTGAATTAAATTTTTTTTTGATTTTTGGACCATTAGAAGGATTCTTTCAGATAAATTTTTTTTTTTGATCTTGACCATTTAGGAGGATGGTGGATGACTGGATAAGAAAAATTTTCCTTTCGGATAAAATCCATCGAAAAATTTCCTTTTGGAGAAATCCGATTGATCTTTGATCTGGCAAACACTCTTAAGGAAAAAAACAAACAATTGAAATTCGCTTGATGCTTATCCTTAGACTTGAAAAAAAACCCCCCGAATGATCTTTAATCTGGGATAAATGAACAAACATGAGGAAAAGCCCTTTTTTTTTTTTACTAATCATTATTCTTTTTTCTTTAATCAAAAAGAAAAAGGCTTGATTGATTGTTTTAACAATCAAAATTTGTAAAATAAATTTTTTTCAATGAATAAATAAATGAATTACCCAAGACCAGAACGTTTACTAAGCATTGACACATAAAAAACGATTATTTGTTTGAGCGAAGGAATAAGAACAGGTAACAAAATTTTAACCCAAGCAATTGTTGATTGACCAATCAAGATCGTGAATTTGATAACGTAAAAATAAATAAATGTTGGTTTGATTCATTTTGCCAACAATCACTTCACCAACAGTTGTTTTGTTAACAAATGGTTCGAATTTAAGAGATTGGAAGCAACCATGCGGACAAACCTTTGAAATAGTCCAACAAATTAAATTGTACTACTCGAAAATGTATTTAAAGGGTTGGTTTTCGACTTGGTTGAAGAATAACTCTCTTACTAACTCTTCTCTTGACCATATCTCTCGATATAATCAAAATAACCTTAATATAATGAATGTCGACAAAATGATTGTAAACACAACCAATAAGATATACGATTAAGACAAAACATGAACGATGTATGAAAAAATCATTAATAAAAACAAAATTACAACCCAAAAAATTTTATTTGCATGTCCTAATAAAATTTTCCATTGTTGTTGTTGCATCATTTATTGCTGATTTAACATTACCAGATCATCAACTGTATTTCGATATTTTCGATAAACTCATTTTAGTTTAATCTTTTGGACATACTTTCTTTTAATGCATTGACATTTTTTTTGATTTCGACTTGAAGACATCAAACATTTAGATCGGCACCTTTGTAGACAATGATTGTGATAACCATGTCCACACGTGAGTATATACACTATAATTATTCAAATTAGTATAGTTAGTATAGTTAGTGTAATCACAATACACGTATTTGCTTTGCAAAAAATGTTTGTAGATGGTTTCCTAGAAGTAACAAAGCCTCTTGGAAGGTGACGATTGGTCATTTCGTAACTAAAGAATGCAATTAACACCACCATTAGATGAATTTTTAGTAATCAAATAATACTGATTTTGTGCTTGATATAGTGGTAGTACCTGCCGAACCTAAATAGAATGCAAGGTCGAACTTAAAAGAATTAATTTTGGTATTATTTAATGAAGCAAGAAGATAACATATGAACAATCTCTTCATATGGTCCATTTTTTGTTCATTACGTTCAAATGACCGAGCTGTTAAATAGAGTTGGTCAAAAAACCCTTCAAGCTTGATTCGCATTTCATCAAAATTGTATATAGGAACTTCTTTATTTGAACATTCTCTTTCATAAAAGATTTTGGTCATCATCTTTATGTTTGTTTATCAACGTTTTCAGTTGTTATATTTTAACTTTTTTTTTTTATCTTATCCCATGCTTGCTTATTAACATTTTCAGTTGAGACCTTTTTATCGTTGATATTAGTAACGCCAACATCTAATCATTATAATCAGGATCTTTTATCAATTCTACCTGTTTCTTCCGTTGTTGCTGTTGATAAATAGAGGAAGACAATATCAAACGTGCTTGTGAAGAGAAAGTTGACAAGGAAGAAGATAATGCCAAAGATATCCATGGAGAATTTGTTGTGGTCAATGATAACCTGATTCTATACTCTTCAATCTTTTAGTGATGGAGGCAACTTTTGTGTTTTTTATTTGTGCTGTTGGATGATTATGATAAATTCCTTGGATTTAAGAATTCCAATTTGTGACAATAGCTTCTCGCTTCTCATAAACATACAAACCTTCAGAATCATGAAACGTGATACTTTTGCTCGTGTAATCTGCTATTGATATCTCCATGTCTTTTTACAACATATATTGTATTATTTATTTGAAAAAAAAATCGAGACAAATGTTTTTTTACATGAATTTACTCCCTTTTTAAAGCTGAATTGAACGGTGGTGATTTTTTAACATATGGATCACATAATATTTCAAATTTAACTTTTTGAGTATAGATGATGATCTGCACTATAGTAATTACGTTAATTTTGATAAAATTATTTTGAGATTAACTTTATTCATACATTATGCTGTGGCACTAAATATTTCACGTATTAAATAATAAACCTAGATTTCGTATATAACAACTTTCCCTAATACTAAGTCAATTTATTGGAAATAAATAAATTTTTTAAGATAAATATCTTTGAAATGTCTAATATTTCATCCTTGGAAAATATTACATACTTGTTTAAAGACCTTAACATTAATAATGCTTCACCTTTAAAATATATTAATAAGCTAGTGAATGATTTTTCAAATTTGTTGGACAATTCAGATTATTATGATACAGAAATTAAAGTTGGAGTGGAAGATGATAATAA